TATTAGGAGAACATGATTTGTAAAGAGGTCATCAACGCATCATCGACCTCCTCGCAAAAATATTCTCCTGATAATATAAATTATAAGAAACGAATTTTCGAAAATTTTCACGTTTGCGTTATTAGGAGAACATGATTTGTAAAGAGGTCATCAACGCATCATCGACCTCTCGCAAAATATATTCTCCTGATATATAAATTATAAGAAACGAATTTTCGAAAATTTTCACGCTTGCGTTATTAGGAGAACATGATTTGTAAAGAGGTCATCAACGCATCATCGACCTCTTCGCAATATATATTCTCCTGATCATATAAATTATAAGAAACGAATTTTCGAAAATTTTCACGTTTGCGTTATTAGGAGAACATGATTTGTAAAGAGGTCATCAACGCATCATCGACCTCCTCGCAATATATATTCTCCTGATAATATAAATTATAAGAAACGAATTTTCGAAAATTTTCAGGTTTGCGTTATTAGGAGAACATGATTTGTAAAGAGGTCATCAACGCATCATCGACCTCCTCGCAAATATATTCTCCTGATAATATAAAATATAAGAAACGAATTTTCGAAAATTTTCACGTTTGCGTTATTAGGAGAACATGATTTGTAAAGAGGTCATCAACGCATCATCGACCTCCTCGCAAAATATATTCTCCTGATAATATAAAATAATAAGAAACGAATTTTCGAAAATTTTCACGTTTGCGTTATTAGGAGAACATGATTTGTAAAGAGGTCATCAACGCATCATCGACCTCCTCGCAAATATATTCTCCTGATAATATAAAATATAAGAAACGAATTTTCGAAAATTTTCACGCTTGCGTTATTAGGAGAACATGATTTGTAAAGAGGTCATCAACGCATCATCGACCTCCTCGCAAATATATTCTCCTGACCATATAAATTATAAGAAACGAATTTTCGAAAATTTTCACGTTTGCGTTATTAGGAGAACATGATTTGTAAAGAGGTCATCAACGCATCATCGACCTCCTCGCAAATATATTCTCTGATCATATAAATTATAAGAAACGAATTTTCGAAAATTTTCACGTTTGCGTTATTAGGAGAACATGATTTGTAAAGAGGTCATCAACGCATCATCGACCTCCTCGCAAATATATTTCTCCTGATCATATAAATTATAAGAAACGAATTTTCGAAAATTTTCACGTTTGCGTTATTAGGAGAACATGATTTGTAAAGAGGTCATCAACGCATCATCGACCTCCTCGCAATATATATTCTCCTGATCATATAAATTATAAGAAACGAATTTTCGAAAATTTTCACGTTTGCGTTATTAGGAGAACATGATTTGTAAAGAGGTCATCAACGCATCATCGACCTCCTCGCAAATATATTCTCCTGATATATAAATTATAAGAAACGAATTTTCGAAAATTTTCAGTTTGCGTTATTAGGAGAACATGATTTGTAAAGAGGTCATCAACGCATCATCGACCTCCTCGCAAATATATTCTCCTGATCATATAAATTATAAGAAACGAATTTTCGAAAATTTTTCACGTTTGCGTTATTAGGAGAACATGATTTGTAAAGAGGTCATCAACGCATCATCGACCTCCTCGCAAAATATATTCTCCTGATAATATAAAATAATAAGAAACGAATTTTTCGAAAATTTTCACGTTGCGTTATTAGGAGAACATGATTTGTAAAGAGGTCATCAACGCATCATCGACCTCTCGCAAATATATTCTCCTGATAATATAAATAATAAGAAACGAATTTTCGAAAATTTTCACGTTGCGTTATTAGGAGAACATGATTTGTAAAGAGGTCATCAACGCATCATCGACCTCTCGCAATATATATTCTCCTGACATATAAATTATAAGAAACGAATTTTCGAAAATTTTCACGTTTGCGTTATTAGGAGAACATGATTTGTAAAGAGTCATCAACGCATCATCGACCTCCTCGCAAATATATTCTCCTGATAATATAAATTATAAGAAACGAATTTTCGAAAATTTTCACGTTTGCGTTATTAGGAGAACATGATTTGTAAAGAGGTCATCAACGCATCATCGACCTCCTCGCAAAATATATTCTCCTGATCATATAAATTATAAGAAACGAATTTTCGAAAATTTTCACGTTTGCGTTATTAGGAGAACATGATTTGTAAAGAGGTCATCAACGCATCATCGACCTCCTCGCAAATATATTCTCCTGATAATATAAATTATAAGAAACGAATTTTCGAAAATTTTCCGCTTGCGTTATTAGGAGAACATGATTTGTAAAGAGGTCATCAACGCATCATCGACCTCCTCGCAAAATATATTCTCCTGATAATATAAAATATAAGAAACGAATTTTCGAAAATTTTCGCGCTTGCGTTATTAGGAGAACATGATTTGTAAAGAGGTCATCAACGCATCATCGACCTCCTCGCAAAATATATTCTCCTGATAATATAAATATAAGAAACGAATTTTCGAAAATTTTGACGCTTGCGTTATTAGGAGAACATGATTTGTAAAGAGGTCATCAACGCATCATCGACCTCCTCGCAAAATATATTCTCCTGATAATATAAAATATAAGAAACGAATTTTCGAAAATTTTCACGCTTGCGTTATTAGGAGAACATGATTTGTAAAGAGGTCATCAACGCATCATCGACCTCCTCGCAAAATATATTCTCCTGATAATATAAAATAATAAGAAACGAATTTTCGAAAATTTTCACGTTTGCGTTATTAGGAGAACATGATTTGTAAAGAGGTCATCAACGCATCATCGACCTCCTCGCAATATATATTCTCCTGATATATAAATTATAAGAAACGAATTTTCGAAAATTTTCACGTTTGCGTTATTAGGAGAACATGATTTGTAAAGAGGTCATCAACGCATCATCGACCTCCTCGCAAATATATTCTCCTGATAATATAAATTATAAGAAACGAATTTTCGAAAATTTTCACGTTTGCGTTATTAGGAGAACATGATTTGTAAAGAGGTCATCAACGCATCATCGACCTCCTCGCACAATATATTCTCCTGATCATATAAATAATAAGAAACGAATTTTCGAAAATTTTCACGTTTGCGTTATTAGGAGAACATGATTTGTAAAGAGGTCATCAACGCATCATCGACCTCCTCGCAAATATATTCTCCTGATAATATAAATAATAAGAAACGAATTTTCGAAAATTTTCACGTTTGCGTTATTAGGAGAACATGATTTGTAAAGAGGTCATAACGCATCATCGACCTCCTCGCAAATATATTCTCCTGATAATATAAATTATAAGAAACGAATTTTCGAAAATTTTCACGTTTGCGTTATTAGGAGAACATGATTTGTAAAGAGTCATCAACGCATCATCGACCTCCTCGCAAATATATTCTCCTGATAATATAAATTATAAGAAACGAATTTTCGAAAATTTTCACGTTTGCGTTATTAGGAGAACATGATTTGTAAAGAGGTCATCAACGCATCATCGACCTCCTCGCAAAATATATTCTCCTGATCATATAAATTATAAGAACGAATTTTCGAAAATTTTCGCGTTGCGTTATTAGGAGAACATGATTTGTAAAGAGGTCATCAACGCATCATCGACCTCTCGCAAAATATATTCTCCTGATAATATAAATTATAAGAAACGAATTTTCGAAAATTTTGCGCTTGCGTTATTAGGAGAACATGATTTGTAAAGAGGTCATCAACGCATCATCGACCTCCTCGCAAAATATATTCTCCTGATAATATAAATATAAGAAACGAATTTCGAAAATTTTCGCGCTTGCGTTATTAGGAGAACATGATTTGTAAGAGGTCATCAACGCATCATCGACCTCCTCGCAAAATATATTCTCTGATATATAAATTATAAGAAACGAATTTCGAAAATTTTCACGTTGCGTTATTAGGAGAACATGATTTGTAAAGAGGTCATCAACGCATCATCGACCTCCTCGCAAAATATATTCTCCTGATAATATAAATATAAGAAACGAATTTTCGAAAATTTTCGCGCTTGCGTTATTAGGAGAACATGATTTGTAAAGAGGTCATCAACGCATCATCGACCTCCTCGCAAAATATATTCTCCTGATAATATAAATTATAAGAAACGAATTTTCGTAAATTTTCGCGCTTGCGTTATTAGGAGAACATGATTTGTAAAGAGGTCATCAACACCTCATCGACCTCCTCGCAAAATATATTCTCCTGATAATATAAAATATTAAGAAACGAATTTTCGAACATTTTCACGCTTGCGTTATTAGGAGAACATGATTTGTAAAGAGGTCATCAACGCATCTTCGACCTCCTCGCAAAATATATTCTCCTGATAATATAAAATAATAAGAAACGAATTTTCGAAAATTTTCACGCTTGCGTTATTAGGAGAACATGATTTGTAAAGAGGTCATCAACGCATCTTCGACCTCTCGCAAATATATTCTCCTGAAATATAAATAATAAGAAACGATTTTCGAAAATTTTCACGGTTGCGTTATTAGGAGAACATGATTTGTAAAGAGGTCATCAACGCATCATCGACCTCCTCGCAAAATATATTCTCCTGATAATATAAAATAATAAGAAACGAATTTTCGAAAATTTTCACGCTTGCGTTATTAGGAGAACATGATTTGTAAAGAGGTCATCAACGCATCATCGACCTTCTCGCAAAATATATTCTCCTGATAATATAAATATACATATAATGACTGTCCATCTCTGAATAGTTCGGACATGAACCTATATCATAGACACAAACCATGTTTCGTTACCGAGCGTAATGTACTAAGTTCACTTCCACTTTGTCAGACGGCGCGTCAAGCATCGAGAAATGTGCCCGTCGAGGCTGGTGGCCGCTCTCAGGTTTCTCTCTGCCATAAGCATAAGGAAATTGATTGGTCCTCAAGTATATGCATAAGAAAATGAACCAATCAATTTTCTTATGCTTATGGTTATGCGTTTGTGCAAAAGTGTGTGTTGCGGCCTTAAACATTTTGTCGTATGAATGTAATCGTACCTTAAGGATGCTAAAGAACAAGAATTAAGCAAAAGGGTCAACCGGCAATATAAATATATATAAACGGTCTCGTGTATTTACCTGAGTAAAGTCAGTTGTTATCAAAATGAGCAAGGCACATCCGCCCGAGCTAAAAAAGTAAGTAATTTTTCATAATTTAATACAATGCTTTACCATTATTTAATCATTGTTTTAATCGTCAGAGCATTTTACGCATTATTTATTAATGACAATTTTGTAATTTTTTTTCAGGTATATGGATAAAAGGCTGTCTTGTAAGTATCGTATAAGAACGTGTTAATAAAATTCAAATTATATATTTGAGAAAAAGATTAGATTAAATTAAAGGACTTGATATAATCCTTGTTGGAAGTTGTATATCTTGTACAGAGAAAATTATATCATGTAAAGATTTTTATGAAATATATATTTAACATAAAATATTATTTTAAGAAGATTATGCAAATTTGAGAGGCTTGCTTCTATTGTCCTTTGGAAATTGCATGCATTTAGCGATAACAAAATTTAACGAAAACTTTATTCCATATTTCCACCAGTTTTTATCCTATAATATTTAAAAAACATTTATATATGTAAAATGCAATATATATATACGTTTTTATACTAACAAATATAATTTGTTCTTTATTGTAATTTTATTTGAATCTCTTGCAGTAAAGCTGAACGGAGGTCGACATGTTATTGGCATACTGAGAGGTTTTGATCCATTCATGAATATGGTTATAGATGAAAGTGTAGAAGAATGCAAAGATGGTACCAAAAACAATATTGGGATGGTGGTAAGTTATAGTACAATTTTATAGAAAAAATAAATTTAAAAATTTTATATATTATGCAAGAGAATTTAATATTATCACTTAAAATCGATGAAAGATTTCATTAAGACAAGTTGTATATTTTTCTAGGTAATTCGTGGCAACAGCGTCATAATGTTAGAAGCTTTAGATCGAATATGATTTATACTACTAAAATCTTATCTCCTTTTTTAATATGTATATTTTCAAATAAAGAATCAAATGTTATTTAAGAAATATAGATATCAGGAAAATCTCTTTTATTCTATAATAAATTTAAATTAAAATCTTTATACACCTATAAATCACGATTAGAAGATATACAATTTACATCAAAAATAAAAATATATAATTAATGAGTAAATTTCATTATCAATATTTAGAAAAAGGAAATATAAAAAATTATCATGATTTAAACTACCTTATTATTATATCTTCAAGTAAATAGAAAATAAATAAATAAATACATTTATTAAAACTCAAATATAAATTAAACTAATAGAGAATATAATTAACAAATTTATAAATCAACTAATTTATTTCCTTATGCAATATTTGAAAGATAGTTTTTTGAGGTAATATTCAATACTTGATTTATTTCACAACTTCATTATATATTAGCTATTTTTTATATTTTTATTGCAAGCTTTATATTTTTGTATTGCAATAATACAGATTGAAAACGCATGAATAAGATGAATATCTCCAATACACAGCATGAAACAATATTTATATACTATTAAAGTGAAAAATGTAACAATTTTGTTGCATATCATACTCTATTTTGCAATCCTAGGTCCACAAGATTATAAAGCATAGTCTTTATGAACATGTACACACTATATGTGCAAGACATATATAAATTCTATATTTGCTAATTCGAGACTCAAATTATCTGGCAATAGAGAGACATATCAAATAATATTTATATTCACAGCTTGAACATTTATTAGTTAGAGAAATATATAGAAAATGTGGAACATGTTCAAATAGATTTTATTTCTGTAGAGATGATCACTTATAAATCTATAAAAAAATAAATATGACTATATTAGAAGAAATATATCCAGTCTACAAGGCACTCAACATTTCATCTTTCATATTCAGGAACATTATATATTCTCAACAAATTGTGTGACATATCGCATATAATAAAATATTTCATGATATTTTTTTCTCTCTATTTTATATTCTAGCAACAGGAGACAGAGCAGAATAAATTGAAGTAGTTGATATTTCACAATGTGTGTGCACACAATATGCACATATAAATTTAAATTTATTGTTGAGAATATTTCATTCTTTTATATATTTGTACTGTTCTGCTCTTACATAATATTACCAACTGCATTATAAAATAAATTTATTATTAAACATATAAAATACATATGTAATCAATTTTAGAAAATAAGACTGTCATCTCATGTATCTTGATAGAGCATTTTATAATTCTAACATATATAATTCTAGTTGTGTGGCTGATTTTAAAGGAGTGATATTTAGATACAATGCTGCTTTTAAAGGAAAAAATCATGAAATAATAAATCTATATCACATCATAAATAATTGAAAATGTAGCTTGTTTTTTTATTTTATACGCCTCTTTGAATAAGAAATAAAATGCAATACAAAAAGATATATTACTTGTATTACATTTTATCATATTGTGTGACTCATTTCATGTCAATTAAATTAATAAAGAGAAACCAATTATGGCAAAATTTGGTTCAAATTGGTCCTTCTTTATTAATTTGATTTGACATTTATGAATTTTTAAATGTCAATTACTTAATCGTAAGGAACGAGTTTTTACATAATACGCAGTGGGATGTAACTTTTATTCTATATCTGAATAATTAAGATTATTTGAGAATTAAGATTATTTGAGAAAGCTAAAATTTTATACTTTAAATTAAAATATTTTTTATGTACATAAACATTTTTTACACTGTGCATTGACACATGTGTCACCGACATGTTAATATATAATATATAGTAGCAGCGTGCATTCACACACAGTCATTTATACTTTGCAAATTATATTTCTATTAATTCATTAATATTAAATATATATAATAATAATAATTATTATTAACAACAATAATTAAGTGTTTTATAATTATCAATAAAATGTGCAACTTGCACTATCTTATAAGAAATTTGTTAAGAAAATAAATCTATAAGATATATTTGTTTAAAAAAAATTAATTATAAAAGAATTAAAATTTTTTACTTCATTATATACAGTTTAACTACACGTACAAGATGGATGAAACATAATGGAGTAATTTTTTCAGATTCTATTTCTATTTTTTTCATTGTCAGTATTCTTTGATCTCTGTTCTAAAAAAGATTGTACATCATTTGTGATTATGAAACATTATTAGAATAACATAAGAATAACAAAATTTTATTTTAGCATTTATAACAAAAAAATAATAAAATAATTATATATATATATAAATGTGTGTATAAAATTTGTTGATATATATCTATATCTAATTATATTTAATGTAGGAATGTAAGGGAAAAAATTACTAGCATAAATATAACTGATAGCCGTAACAACCGAGATATTGAAAATCTAGCTAAAATCATAATCTTAAATTATTATGTATAAATAAATAAAATTCTAAACACTACTCTTTATATAAACGTTTTTATCTTCACGTGGAAAAAATATAGGCAGTTTTTAATCGTCGCGATTTTTATTTGCACGATAATTTAAAGTGCAACTGCATAAATCAAGAATCCTTTGTTTTGAACGAGATTCATATCACGGTGTTCCACATCATTAAATTATACAACTATTTCATTTATCTCATCTATCTCAATTATACAACTATCTCAAAGGATACAGTCAATACTCTTGCAAAGAGTATAATAATTATAAATTAATTTTAATATAAGTATATCTTGCTCACGCGTTGTACAAAACTCATATCGACATTATACTCATATTTACATTTAACGCTTTTTGGTTGTTGATAGGATACTTACGCTTTTCCATTCTTCCAAGCTTTTTATAATAAACTTGGCAGAATATAATCTCGTTCGTATTTCTTATAAATAAAATATATTGCACGCTTTTTTATCACGACATGATAATAGATTCTTGCTTGTAATTTTTGGGATCGAGACTTTCTTCTATGGAAACGAATGTAAACCCATTCATCTTCGCACTGGTGTTCTCATTATTCATCGAGTCTGTGTCGTCCTCATTTTTTATTGTTACTGTTTGAAAAACTGAACTCTTGATGTTATCCTGTGTTGTTGTATCAATAACAGAAACTACTTTATCCTTGTTTAGATTATCGGATGTATCCTGGCAATTTATGTCCTTCGTATCCCTTTTGTTTGAATCATTTACTGATGTGTGATTTATTTTTTTTTCTGAGAGTTTTAATTTCTCTTTCTTCAATTTGGCGTCTGCTTTATCAGAATTTAATGTCGCGTGCGTTTTAACATGATTTTTGAAGAAAGCAAACGATTTGCAAACATAGTCACATTTATCACAAGCAAATTCCTTTGATCGCTGCGTAAATATTTCCTTTTGACCATTATGTTGTTTAGTCATGTGCTTCTTCATATCGTATTTATTACTAAAAGACTCGTCACAAAGATTGCAGAAGAAGAGCTTCACGCCCTTGTGCTTTGCAACGTGCATTTTAAAATACCAATCGGTGCTGAAATGTTTCGAGCAATAATCGCAGAAAAAAGTTTTCTTCTTCTTTAAGACCTTTTGCCCTTTGTGCAATTTTTGTATTGAATAATGCTGTATCGGAACCTTCGAGGCATCCTTTTGTTGCGTTGTGGTAATAGTATTAGAAGTAGTAACAGCAGTAGCTGTTGTAACAGTGTTAACGGTGGTAACAGCGTTAGTAACGGTTGCAGCAGCGGGCTGAAGAGGTGATGGATTTGGTACAGTTACCGGTGTGGTTACCACATTTTCCGCCATAATACAGAATTTGGGGATACCTTGGGTCCGATGTAACAATGATGGAGCGGTTATCAAGTTAGTTATGGGCACCACGCGTATTGGCGTCAAAAACGGTTTAGCCTGAATCGGCGTAGTCGTTATAACGTGCGATGGTGATACGACCCAATTGCTTATCGTCAAAGGCTGAATAGCGGTAGTTTGAGATGAACAAGTTGCGAGAACGTATTGATTCTGCGAAGATGGAACTGAAGTAGAAACAGAAGTAGCAACAGAAGCAGGAATGGAAGTGGGAGTTGAAGTAGGCGTCACGACGTATGATTTCTGTTGCAGATTGGGGAACCCAACTTGATTTATCGGTTGCGCTTTGCTTTCGATCGGACGTAACGTGTTTTGTGGTGAAATCGTAAAGGGCAAATTTCCAAAAATATTCGCAAAGTTATTTGCTTGGGAATTAATTTTAATAGGTTGAGCATTAGATACATTAGAGCCAACTGATTGAGTGGTGGGTACTGAAGTTATGGTGATAATCGGTTGTTGACTAGGCGTTGTTTTTGGAATGATTATTATCTCCTCATTTTTGCGCAAAGTTTCCATCGCTTTTGCGGGATCCGAGTAATCGTTTCTCTTCATTTTCGTGACTTCCAAAATTTGCAGCTCACGTTCACGCATCCTCTCCTTTAACAAGTCCGCTCTATCCACATTATTGTGCCTGTACTCGTTCTTTCTTGCGCAATTCCTATGATGTATCCGAGATCTCCATCCTTCCAGCGTTATTCCACAAATATCGCATACGCGACATTTATCGCATCTGTATAACTTTATTGATGCCTGACGACAACGATTATGATCGATACTCAACGCATCGCAATATCTGTTTTTGCAATGCTTTCCAACTGGTGCATTAATCTCTTCCTCTTCTATGTTCACTGCTAACATAGGTGACACTCTGTCGTTATCTACATATTGTTGTACCATTACATCACAAACAATATTCTCGCACGGTTCATTGTGGCCACATAATTTTTTTTTAATGGGCAACAGAGCAATTTCCGATTTCTTGTCCTCTATTTTTGAAGGCAGAAGATTAGCATCGTCTCTTTCTTCATCCGGTATCATCACAGGAACTATTGATATCGCAGATGGTTTCAATGTTGTTGCATTCATGCCATTCTTCTTATCACCAAATATATCCTTATCAAGCTCGGAACTCACTGAACTTAAAGGAATCGTCTTAATAATAATATTTGGTTGATTAAAAAGGCGTTTCACTGGATCTGATTGCAACATCTGCAAATAATAATATTGTATTTTGTAAACTTGTGTAACACTATAACTATGACTGATCGCTTTGGTACAAACAGTAACACTTTTTTTTAACATAGAAGATATTCTCATGTAATATACCTTTCTTTTTATTCATTTATTTTTCTATATTTGCACATTAGCCATGTAACTCACCTCGGACAAAGTGATTTGCGTCATGTTGTTTGGACACATGTTGGACGAGTTTATGGGTACAAGTTTGGGTAATGATGCATATGCCATCTTCACCATATCGACATTCAATGTAGGTTTCCCTATAATTTGGAAAAATTCGATCAAAGGGCGTCAAATTTCACAGACTTTCAATAATTCTGCTCCAATTATTCGCTCACAACCCAAAACAGAGCGAACACGTCAAAACGAAAGGTCGCGCGGCAAAAAATCCACACTCGGTAGGTTAGCCTAATTTATAGATAAATTAATCTAGAATTATATCTAAAAATATATCTAGAATTCCCCGCACACTTGCGCGATTTCATTCAGCCATGTATATGGAATTTTTAAATTATACTTACGAGGGGGAGAAAGAGAGGGAGAGATAGAAAGAGGGAGAGCGAGCGACTCGCTACGATCGATTCACAATCAGCGTGCCATGATTTGGAATTTTAATACATATTCAGCATGTTGTTGGCGTTGCTTGTGCAATTCTCCGTATCATACACAGTAGTACATGCACGGTTTTTTTTCTCCGGAAGGAATTTTTCTTGCGGCGATACATACACGATTAGGTCGACAAACCGGAGCCTCTTAAAGGAACGATAATCACGCTCCAATATTCGTTCGGGAATCGGCGTCGCGTGATCTGTCAAACGCGCGATCGCCGTCGCGACGGTGAAAAATAGCGGCAAAAATCGTGAAATTAATTTTGACGGAGGTGGCCATCGACGAAACCGCGATACACACAAAGGTTCCGCGCATGCGCGCGTTTACTCACCGCTGCTGCCCGCGCATGATCGATCTTAGATCTCGAGAGAAGACCCGCTTTTTTCCTTCGTTTTTTTTTTCGTACAAGTATATTTCTCTACGTGTTCTATTCTTTTTACTCTGTGTTTTTATGTCCTCTCTCTTTGCTCGTATTGGAAAATATCAGTTATGTTATTTCATGATTATATTTCTCTTATCAAAGAAATTAAGATTTAAAAAATCTTTCTATAATATAGATTTAAATTAGATTATCTTTCTTGCTTTATATTTTCTCTGTATAAGATTATAATTTATGCGTATGTGAGCTAATTTTTTAATTTTATCTCATATGTTATTCTTCTTTGTCACATACTTTTCTATTACTTGCGAATTTTGCGTGTAAAAATAGTATTTGTACAATTTTGTAATATTTAGAAGTTACAAAGTTTTAGATTTTAATTAAGAATAAAAGAGAAGAATAAACAGAAAAATAAAATAAGAAAATATAATAAAAAAATAATTAAATTAAAGAGTTTAAATTAATCAAATTTAATATAAATTAAAAATAAAATATATAGATTTTGTGCCAGATATAACAAGGATTAAATTTGCAATTATTACATCTTGCATTATATACACAATATATCCTACATTGCACTACAAAATATTAAAAAAAATTTTTTTTATCGACGTTGGTTCTAATTAATTTTTGCGCAAAATACGTAAATACAGAAAATAGCTGGGAGAAATATTTAGTTGGAATAAAGACTTTATTGTAACATCGTAAAGGTTTAAGGTAATGTACACATTATCGTAATTAATTATTGTAGTACTTATCTCAGCAGTGTCATAGATAGGATGCTACTTATCTTTGGTACTGAATGTACAATATGTATTGCAAATTGCAATGATGCTTGCTGTTATTGTTGTTATTTATTTATTAACCGATGTAAGATGAAGTTTTGAACTTCATTATATGTCATCGATGATCGTTATTTTAAGCCAATTTGTTGGATGATTTTTATTATACAATTGAAATTACAATTACACGTTGCAGTATTTATTTAGTGTGAAGTTTAATTCTTTTTTCTCTCATTTTCTTTTTAAAGAGTACTTTTACTAAAATAGCATTTATTTATTAATAATAAGCTGGTTGTGTTGAGACTCCTCGTCGAACCGTATGCAAAACAAACGCTTGATTGTCTCGTAATGAAGCAACACATACACATATGACATCACGCATAGACAAACAAGTGGAAAAAGCAATGCATAATACGTGAGTAAAAAAGTTTTATTGAATTTTCGCGAAATTCTTTCGTGATTTCTGAATATACTCGTGTGTAGGAACTATTGCAAATTGAATACTATGAATAAAAAATCATGCACTGGATTTTTTCATGTAACACACACAAGAATAAAGGAAAGAAAAAACGAGTAAATGCACATATATAGTCGGTTAGGTCAATAAAACCAAGTCCGTTCAATAAAACCTTTTCACACAAACCTTTTTACGCGCTCTTAAAGTAATAAAATCTACATATTTTTTTTATAGTTTCAAGAAAGCATCGAAGCTATTTCTCACAATCGCACGTATAATGCGTTAGGGGTAACTTACAACTTAACTTATCCAATTCGAAGGTACATTGTATAAAACTTAGCTCTCTCTATATATGTATGTGCTTATCTTATATAAACAATATTTACATGGATCAGTCAAATAAATAGTTTTAGTCTTTGCGTCGAGAGCGGCCTTAGACGAAGCAAGCCTTTATCGCTAATTCATTTCAATTTACGGGGAGAATGGTGAAAAAATAAAGGCGTGATACTGCGCGATCGAGAGGAAGTGCTTAATTTATTCCGGCTTAATTCATTACTGTACTGAAAGAATATCGACTTTGTTCAATTCGCAGTGTTACTATCGAGATTGCTAACACCTAGACTTTTCTAGCTAATGGCATTTCAATTTTGACTCCCACAGAATCTCCAAGGTACAATTTTGTATCTATGTGTGTGTGTATATATATGTATATATCCTAGATTTCATTACATCTTAATCTTTGGAAAGAGGCCTTCTATTAACGTCTGTCAGATATGACTGCGATTTCCGATAGCTTTCATCAATTTAACGGTGCGTGACAACTTTCAATACCATCTACTTATGTATCGGATTCAATCGAGGGCACAGATTTTCGCATCGATTTTAATAATTCATCAGCCTTCGGTGGATTAATAAAATGAATACAAGAATAAGAGTGAAATTTCAAAAAGAGAGATATCTCCCTTCTTATTTTCTCTATTATCTTTATTTATCTTGCCTCGATCCGATCGCCGGATTTCAAAGATCTCTCATAATGGGGCCCTCATCATAGCAGTGATATAAAATAAATTTTGGTCGCATCTATAGTCTGCTAGTCTTACAACAAGGTGACGTATCAGTGTGTGTATGTGTGTGTGTATTTCTGTGCAGTATATTTCTTTATACATATACATATATCACAGAGATCAATGAATTTCGTAACACGCCCCCCTTCTCCAATTTTAAGCGAAGGTTTCGAAAATAATGTCGCTTTACCTCGTAATATCGCTTCTTATAAAACGCTTAAGATAAATATTACTAATATTGTAAAAGATAAATATTACTAATATTGGTAATTATTGGCTTACATAGGTACGCTTGAACATCGGCAATGTGGGTAGTTTCTACAAAAAATATTTGACAATTTTTAAGTGGATACTATTTACAATTTTCAATACTATGTCTCTCTTATGTAACGGCCACGTACGACCGCAATTTTACAATATTCTGACAAGAAATATAATATTTGCTCGTAAAATTAGCGTTTTCTTTTATGGATCTTAGAAGGAAACATTCGCGATCCTTGTACTATTTCTTTCAACATCCGTTTAAGGATTTTTAATTAAGAAGTTACAGAGACACATATCGCCCTCGTATGTGTATCTACTACTTTATACACGTGCACGTTTACATCAGCGTGAATGTGTGTACTCGTTCACGTATATCTTCTCCAACGAGATTAAATCAATCATCGTAAACATTTTAAACGGCTTCGTGGACTAGAATGTTTCAAGTATAGATTTCTCTCTCGTGACGATTACTTCTTTTTCTTCTTTTCAGTGCCGCTGCCGCTCACTTTCGTCACTTTGGTCGCGTCGACACCGGCTTCTTATTGTTTACACTTGATATAGTTCTCGTGACACCAGAATTGTTCTTGTTCGCTTCAAACTTTTGTTGAAGCGACGCCACATTGGACTTGCCACTGGCCGCCCTTTGCAGAGGATTCCTTCCTCCTCCATCCTCGTTCTTGATCGTTTCCGTCTTAGTAGATACCTTCGCACCCTTGGCATTATTCGAATCCTTGATGGATGACGACAATGATTTAGCTAGGCTTGCATTGCCGGTCGGGGATTTCTTCCTTTCCGAGAGACCAGTAGTTTTGGACGTAATATTTAGAGGTTTCAACGGTGTCGTAGGCGTCTTTTGCCCACCATTTCTTGGCAGCGTGGATATCTTGTGAGCGGATGTCTTCAATGGGAGACTGAACTTGGGGTTGCCGCCCACAACGTCCGGCGACTTTGTGCCGCCTTGATTCGCGTTCGAACAGCTTGAGACCAGGTCCGGACTATTGAACTTGCCCGGATTATCCTTAGGACTACAAGGCACATTTTTGACAGATACAGTTGTACGCGATTCCTCTTTATCTAATTCGCTATTCGACTTGGTCGCGGTCAGTTGCGTTTGCCTCGCGTCCGAACGCTGCTTCGTCGAATTTATCGAACTCGCGTCGGACGCTTTTGAGGAAGATTTCAACGATTTTAATGTATTATCTGAACTTTGTCTCGTGAGTTTCACGCTCGACTCGGTCGTTTCCCTGGAAGTCGGACTTTTCGCGATATTCGGTGGCGTTTTAGTCCTGTTCAAAAGCGGCTTAACCGGAACTTTACTCTCAGTTTGGTCGTCCTTCTTGATATGTATCAAATGAGACGGTCGAATCTTCGTCGGAGCGAACGGTTTGTGCTCTACAGGATTCTCAGGCGGCTTCATACCGAGTTCTTTGGACAGTTCGTCATTTATATTAGGATTATTAGATTTCAGGGTATCTAGCTTGCTTTTTTCGATAGGTTTCAAGTTGTCGTTCGCGTCTGAAATACTTTTATCTGTCTCTTTTCTGTCCATTTGAGGAACATTTATCACGGATGGATGAAGATACCCGGAGCTGGTGGTGGAACTCGAGGAATTAAACTTGCCGGAAGTCGAGTTTGAATAAACGCTCCCGGGTGTCTTGTAGTGACTCGAGTTCATGTAACTACCCAAGGAACTGTCAGAGCCTGTATTTTCTGCATTTTTCGACGCATCCTCATTATTATTCTCCCTCTTCTTCCTGGTCAGCGTCGAAGTGGAATATATAGAATCAAAGTGGCGATTCGAGATCTCTGATACAATTTCTGATAGCAGACCCATCGATTCCAAGTCGTTCGCACCAGCGGTGGATGTCGCGTCGATGCGTTTCGGTAGTTTATATTCGTTATCGGTTGATATTGTTGCCTCCAATTCTATGTTCTTCCTGTTCTTCTCCGGCACGGATTCCTCTATCACCGCATAAATATTGTCATTCGTAGGCGATTCCTCCCTAATCTCTCTCAAGGCTGATAACGAAGATTCCGCAATCAAGTTCATGCAGTCGTCGTAAACGTCCTCCGGCTTCACGGGTGGATTTTGATAACCAGGCAATCCTGGAATTTTTATCGCGTTCTCGACGGACTTTTCTGTCTGCGCGATGTTCGGCGGACCTGGAGGTGGCGACGTAGGCCTCGTGCTGGCGGGAATACTGGTGGGTCTTTTAACGGGCGTCGTCTGACGCATCGAACCGAATGTATGGACAAGAGGTTTTGGCGTAATTTTGCTGTCTCTCATGGACTGAGCGCGCAGGACCACGTTTTTTTTCTCGACTTCGGCCGCTGATATCACCGGGATGACTGGTGTGGCGATCTCAATCTCTTTTTGAGGTATCGGATTGGAAATCTCCAAGTTTCTTAAGATTTCCTTGTCGATGACTTTGTTGGCCTTATGATGCTGGCTCCTCGGCAGAGAATTCGTATTCCTTTCGTCCCTCTGAGAGTTGCTTCTCATGATGCCAGAACCAGGACGCAACATCGATGCGATTCGGTTGAGCGTGCTGCCTCTATCCGGCTTCTTCTCAGGTTCTGGCAATACCACGTTCGTCAAGGGCGTACTGTTTGGTCTCTGCGGCTTTGCAGATGCCGTGGAACCGGTGGTTGGCGGTGCCGGGGCTGGACGCATGGGTACATCCGGGGCAGGTCTGGTGGGTACCTTGGCTACCAGTTCAACAGACGTGCAGGTTGTAGCTGCCAATACGGGACTGCTGATTAACGGTCGCGCTGTAGATCCGGGATTCAATGGCGGCAACATGGGCGCGGTCGCATCATTGACATCAGAACTTAACAGAGTACTTTTTTGCGATACATTGCATCTTTGCATATTCGACTTAATTACATTTGTCTTAATTGCTACGGTAGGCATCCACCCTGGCGGCGGAGGCGGAGCCGATTTCGTGGGTTCGGCCAGTTTGGATTGAGAGTGGATCGGCGTGATCGTGAAGCCTTTAAACTGGCCAAACATATTGTTGGTGTAGCGCTCGTCGGCCTCTGTCTTAGGTAGCAAACTCACGCACGCCGGATCCTGACTCAGGCTAGAATCGATCGTCTCGATGTTACGAGACATGGGGCTTGAACGATCAATCGTTTTGATTAGCGATCCATTGTGGCCGCGATCGGTCCTGAAATTTGAAGCAGAATTATAAGCGAAGGAACTGGGGAACTTGTAAGCGCAATTATGTGATATTTAGTGCGTGGCTAATGAAAATATTTTGTTTGTAGTGAGATAAATCTGAGAATCTATTTGTTTTCATATATATTAAAGTATAAAATACTAGTGTTGTTTTTCTCGTGCACATCTCGTTGATGAAGCAAAAAAATAGGTGTTTTTCAAAATATTAAAATAGTACGAGAAGCAATGTATAAATTAAAATAATACGAGAAGTAATGTTTAAATTTAAAATTTTTTATTGTATACTGTACGCTTTATCCTTATACATGCATACGTGTTCAGCATCGTGAAAAAAAATCATTTATTAGCATTTCTCTCAAATGCATAACTATTCACCGCAAATCCAAACATGCGCAGACAAGAAATAATTGCAGGGAAATGTTAGTTACAGATTAAGATATTAGTACAGCAAGCAGTTGGAGAAGGAAATCATTGAGGAAAACTGAAAACACTGTATCTCGATACTACGTTTATTAATAATAATAATAATAATTGTACAATTATCAAAATATGAGTATAATATTCGTTGTATATTTATCTTGTATATTCAAGAAATGAATAAAGAAATGAAAAAATATTTTTTATTAATAAAAATTAAGTACTTCTTAAGTAATCGTTAATATAATAAGAAATAATCAATAAACTTTTCACGGCTTTTAAATTATATAAATTGTCAATTTCGCAAAATGCAAAGCCAGTAAGAAGAGAATTTTTATTCATGCTCATGCTCATATAACATGATTTTCTGCACATGCTCTACAGTTACGCAACACTTGTCAATAATCTCCGTCTTTATAGCGCAATATGTCCATGTAAAAAATATTATTTTTATAAAATTTATATAATAATTCGTTGGTTTTCAATAAAGGAACAGTATTCTGTTCTGCAAATTTGAGTACCTCATTTAACATTAATTATAATGCATTGACAGATTAATTTGTCTCATATAAAATTCATATGTTTTACAGATGTATATTAATATTGTAAAGTATATTGATTAAAGTTTTTATTTAGATATTTAGCTTCTATATTTAATATATAATTAAGAATAAAATAAGGCCTTCCAAATTAGATAGCTAGTTTGTTTTTTTAAGTACATTAAACAATCACTAAGAACAAAATGCTGTTCTAATAATATTCTTAGACATGTTAAGTTTGCGATCACATAAACAATGCATAATGCACGATTACAAAAATGTATTAAATTTGAAATGCTAAAGAAAAAGTATTTACATCAATTGCCTGCAATTATTATTTCTACATCTCATTATGCTTATAACATAAAAGAATCTGTCTTGAACAGATTTAATCACGATAGACACGCGAGAAAAAGTGATACGATTTATATTATTTACATTTATTCTTAACTATTAATTTCACTTTTTATCTAATCCGTTGAAAAATATTATTATAAAATTTTGTCTACACACACACACACACACATATATATATATATATATATATATATATATATATATTATATATATATATATATATATATATATATATATATATATATAACAATATACTGAAGAGCATATTATGACTATCAGCAATTGGAATCACAGTAGGAATTACTTTAGCGTGTTCTGGCAACAGTTATATCCAAATATTGTTTCTATATACCACCACCATTTTCGAGTCCCCGTATATGTTATAATGCAAAAATCATAACTCGTTATAATAAGAATGCTATGATATTTGCACTATTGAACAAAATTATTCTTAATTTAACGATCTACTTCATATTTATTTAAGAAATATTATATTCGATTAATAATTAATTCTGATCTTTTTTTAAATTATTATCACAATAATAATAATATTAAAATAAAATCTTTGTATAATATTAAAATAAAATCTTCGGATTTTTTAAATTCGATTTTTGTGCAAATGATATGTTTTATTTAATTGAAATGATTCTTTTATGATTTATTGCAATTTCTTTCTCTGAAAATAAATTCAACTACTATAGATTATAAAACAGACTCGAGATTCATATATCATAATGTATTACATAAACAATAAATCGATAAATTCTTCTAATAAACGTGAACATACGTGAATTTTCACGCCAAATATCTACGCGTGATTAGATTCGTATAGACAGATCAGATATCGCTCAGATCTTTGGTTTTAAGCTTTGAGCAGGTGCCGGTGGGGGTGGTGGCTTTTTATTATAAAATGGAGTAGGCGTTTTCGAATTATTAAATAATACGTCCTTTGGAGTAACGTCAGACGAATTAGCTGGACTTTCATTCAAGTGTTCGAATTTGAATTCTGTATTGAGCGTAAGTCCTTTGACATTTTTAGGCGATTTTCTCTGAATCTGTTGAATACATTCCGATATCTTGGAGCCTAATTCCGACTTATGAGTAGTTTTCTTCTGGATTTCAACGGCAGGTATCGAAAGAGTCGCAATGTTATTCTGTATTTGGGGTTTCGCGCTAACGTCCGGTTTTATTTTGTCGAATAATAATGACTTTCTGTACTCGATATTATTGCTAAATTTAATAGCGTCCGGATTGGTGGTGGATATCAGATCAGTCTTAGTTATTTGTAGCGACTCTTTCAGCGCGGCGTTATCACTGATTGTGAATATTTTGTTCGCATTACGGGTGATATTCTTTCGTTTCGGTGTGAAATAGGCGACGATAGTTCCGAAAAACATATTACCGGCAGTGTAATGTGTTTTTGACTTAAGAACACCGAGTGACTTTTTAGCATGCGGTTTGCGTTTCTCTTTAAAACGGTTGAAACTAGATACGTACGTAGACATCACGTCCTTCTTCCAGTGCTGTGAGGAATTTCTGACGTACCAAACACTGAACAGCAGCAGAGCTATAGCGGGCACCACTCCCAAGAAGATAATGTAGAGCACGGTTGCGACATCGTTTCTCGCTGATAACACATGAAATGAATATTATACAGTCACAGTCAAAGATATAGATCTATAAATATGTAATATATCTCAAACGTTTTTTTCTCAAGTTAATTATCAAGTGTTTTTCGCTGAAATTATTTAGAATGCTAAACAAACTTAATTTTTTTACTTCTTATCGATTTATAACAGTAGATATAAGTATATATTCACCGTTTGGATCCTCGGCTGGACCGCTATCCTCGGAGCCTCCGATTCCGGGATGAAGGCAGTCAGGTGGTCGAAAGCCACGGCTACAATGGCAATGGCCAAGACTGTTACATACTCCGTTACCGTTGCAATTATTCGGACAGGCTTTACCACTAGATACGGATGCTCTCAAATCCGCTACTGACATACATTTTTGATTCACACACATCTATAAATAAGTAAATTATAATTATTCAAACGTTTCTGGTCTACTTCACGCTTAAGAAATCAGACTTTCATCGTTGGAAATATTTTACCTTTCCAGGTGCACACTTGGCACCGTCCGGGGCGAGTCCAGGATCGACCTCGTTCAATCCAAGATCGACTATAGCCGAACGGCATGGTATTATCCTCCCGCCGTTGTTGATGAAGGAATGGCTCAAAGTTGCGACCGATTCCATGCCAAATTCTAATCGTTCATTCAAGTGTCTACAGTGTAGCATGCCGCAGAGAAGATTTCTACAAATTCGATTACATTAAAATCCAACTTCTCTCACATCATTCACATATACGATATAGTTCCAACTTACTGATCGTTGCACTTGATGAAGTTCGCATCAATGCGATTGTAGCCGCAATTACCGTTCTTTGTACCTCGGTTGTTCATATCGTAACATTGCGTGTCGGAGGACCAACCGGTGGGACCCCACAGGAGTTTGCACTGATCGTCATGTGTCCTGCACGAGCCTTGATAGCAGAAAGCTTTGCCTACGCTACAGATTTCTCCGTCCATCTTAAACACGTCCGCCGGACAATATTCGCTCTGACCCGTGCAATATTCCGGCAGATCGCACTCATGTTCGGCGCTTCGACATTCTGTACCCGCGCTCTTCGGCCTGCAGGTCTTCAGATCACAACACTCGCCGGTGGCACAGCTTGCATTACTATGCAGCATGCAAGTAGTCACGTTGCAACAGGGATTGTCGCAGTTTTCCTTCAGGCCGCAATCGCACTGCTCGCCAGGTTCGACGAATCCGTTGCCACATATGGGACTATCGAAGAGCTTCTGCGGTTTGTTCCTCAAGCAATAATCCATACCGTGCTCGAAGGCTATGGCCAAATGTTCTAGCGAGCATGTGGACCAGTGCGTTGGCCCGGACGAGCCGCTGGACGATGCCATAATGCACCTGGAATAATAATTAAAATTGGACTTGAAGTGAATCAACAATTGACAAATACAATATTATTAAAGTAAAATAAAGCCACGACGTACTTCTCTTCCGGGCAGCCGCAATCCGGCCCATCGTGTTCCATGCCAAAATTATGGCCCATCTCGTGAGCAACAGTGGCCGCGACTAAACCAACGACGTTGGAATGATCCATGGAGACGCCGCCAGAGAATTCATAGGTGCATATCGGTCCCTTAAGAGCTTTGCCGACTACTCCGCCTTCAAAGGTAATTCGCCTGTTGTCGAGAAAGAAAAATATCAAGCTCGTTATTATTTTACGCTAGTTTACATAATGTATCTCGCACTGCGAGCTGCACTCACGTCAATAGCTGGGCGTTATCGTTGGGTATATCCTGAACCAGCTTCTCCCTGCGGTAACGCAGGAAATTGGACAGAGTGGTGTCGCCGTTCGATGATAGATTTATCTCATCGGACTCGGACCACACTTGCACGCCGACCAGAGCGATGAATACGTTCAACGGCATGTACAGCTGCAAACACACCGAGATATCCTCGTCTCGTATTTTGCATGGAGATTTCACAGTATCGCGATACGCTTGAGTAACGCGCTAATTAATCTCTTTGTTCCGTTGCGTCAGAGTATACGCAGAATACACCCTACATCGCGCTTTCTCCCGGTTGTGGATATAAGATCCATCATTGTCGTCGGCGATAAATTAAAAAGAAAGTGGAAGGATGAAAAATATTTGAGCTCCGAGAAATCCGAATTAACAGGATCTAACTTTTGGATAATATCAAGAATTTTAGTTTAACTTGTTAGCGTAATTACCGAGAAATTTAGTCTTAATAATGCATACATAATAAATCAATTTTTGAAAGATAATAAATCTACGCAAAGAACGGCTCACATATGATTAACAAGATTCATTAAAGTTCTCGCGCTTGTGGTTCCCACTTTCTGAAGAAAGAAGGCTTGAATATCCATGAGAACGTAATTGTGTATATAATAATCAAATTAGCCTAGATCAAGTAAAATTCTAAAAGGAATGAAATTAAACCTGAAGGCTCTAATATATTTCAGCGAATTTTAGGAAAAGGAAACCGCAAATGTTCAACGTGTCTAATTGGATAATGGAGTTGTTGAACTAGAGCCGCGCGTTTTAGCTCGTTCTCATTGGACTTGAGGTCGAAATTAATTATACGTCCAGTTAAGTGATGACGACCGACGTTACTTACAGCGTTGATAATGTTGGCGATGTCCTTACAGTGCTGATGTACTTTATCCAGGTTTTCGTCGAGCGCCATATATTCCTTCTTGTCGATTACAAGTACTAGCTCGACATAACGCGACTGCCTGTTCGCGTTGTAGGGTCCCCGAATAATTTCAGCCGCTCTTTTATGCTACAAAAAAAGCGATATTAATCATAACACTCACTAATTTCAATTTTCTTCATTAAAGTTAATTTATAATTTAGTGCAAGATGGTTCGAATTTGTTGTACATCTTTTATCATCAATGCTTTAATAATTAATAAAAATTAAATTCTATTTAAATTTTTGCAAAAATACAATGATTCCAAAAGGTGTTTCCAATTGCCTAGTCCAACAAAAGGGAGGAAAGAACGGAAAAACAGGAAAGCGTGTACGTGCATTCAAGTTACCGCGGATATAAAACCTCCTGCGTTCTTTGAAGCTTGTAATTTACTTGAAGAGGAAGGACAGGAAAGAGGTTTGCGCGAAATTTTTTTCTACGTCGTTCTCTGCACATACGTACCCTAGAGAGTCTTTCAGTTTCTCGATAATCGCGAGGGAGAACGTGGTGCGGCGGCGTGCCTTCGTAACCTGGAACCGAGGAAAAACGTCAGACACACAGGAACACGATCGTTGGCAGCGAGATTCCCGGTAGGACCGGGGGACAAAGAGCCTCCGAGGCCTTGCTCTCACATTCGTTAAGACTGTTAAGGAGAGACCAGTCTCTTTCCGAGACGGGTCTTTGAGTCTGCTCAAAGAAGGAGCGAGGGTATCGTCACTGAAGGAGGATGAAGACCCCAGAGAGCTACTAAGTCGCGTTTCTCAAAGCTCGTGGATACTCTTAACAAATCCGCGGAAATCGCTTTACCTAAGTTTCTCGTGACAATAATCAATCTTGAATGACAATTTTCACGAAGGATTTGTGAGTGTCGAGTTGTGTGAGTCAACTTATTAGTCATGAAGCTCTGAGATCTTAATTATGAATGTCGTTAGCTTCATAAGATATAACATGTGTCATGTATTCTCTCAATCTATCTCCTCGAAATAATAATCATCTCCACTTTTCGAGGTGACGCTGTCAAAGAAGCGGACGTTTGTAACGTTAGTAATGAAGTCGAGAAGAAAAATATTCTCCACATTGACAATAATAATGTCATTTTTTTTTTCAAATATTGACATTGACATGCTAATAATATCAATCTTTCTTTATCAAATATCGACTTGCTAATAATATCAGTCTTTTTCTTTCAAATATTGACATTAACAGGCTAATAATATCAATCTTTTTCTTTCAAACACAATTTTTATCTTTTTCTTTTTCATATTTCTATGGCGGAAAAGCGTCTTATTAAGCATGAGATTCTTTAAAGAAACGTTTATGCAAATAATATAATAATATGAATGATTGATCGTGCAAGGTATGCTTACCGCACGTATTATTAGCGATGAGGTCGTTGTGTTTGTAGAGGTAATGTGAAGAATCCAAGCTCTCATCTTCCGGTTGGATGTGATGAAGGTTCTCACCATCGAAGATGACACCGCGCAATCCTCTACAAGTGGATAACGCAACCCACGAATCGGGAACATCTCGAACGCTACCTTGGTAATGACAGAGTTCCTGCAAGAGAGTTCACGCAACTCATAAATATCATCATTCGCTGAAATACACACTTGTTTTAAGAGATCCTCTTTTTCTCAAATTCCCCTCAATCTTATCGACATTTGAATGAAGTTTCTCTCTCGGGTCTCATCGCGTGGTTTTTACAGTTTTTACTTTATATATAATTTCCCTTGCTACAACAACTCGACAAAACTGGACAAAGTTGTCGTGTAACTTCATCACCGCGACTAAAAAATAAATACACAGTCTTTCATTTAAGCTTTTCAACTTTTAATTAAACTTATGCTTTCATTTTACTCTTCATATAAATAAATAAGTAAATAAATAAATAAGTAAATAAATAAATAAATATATACACATAACACATATACAGGGTGTTTCTTAATAGGAGCGAAAAATTTTAGATGATTCTTTGTCGAAAATTAAGGAGGGTTTTTCATATAAACATATACGCCTATAATATACTTTTCTGTGGAGTTACACTCCTTCAAAAATTAGGTTTTTATTTTTTTTCTCAAATTTAGAACAAGTTAAAGAAATGAAATTAGGTGGATATTTTCTATTAATAAAAAGGTTATTTATTAATATTTTTGTCAGTCTTCTGTATTGTTATAAAGGGATGAAACTAGTAAACCCTATTCAATTTTTTATTAGAACTTTTTCATGGGCCGGAATATGATCATCTAAAAATATTCATTAAAAAGTTTGATTTATTTAGAAATTTTTTTATTTCTTTTATTTTTCTCATGAAATCAGTAGTTTAAAAAAAAAAATACGTTATCATGCACAGCACAAAATGTTAAATAGCATAGGTTTCGAATTATGAAAGGTTAAATTTTGAAATAAAAATAAGAAAATTAAAGTAAATGTTGGAAAAATTGGAACAAAAACAAAATTATAATAACAACTTAAAAACCTAAAAAAATAAAAACTAATTTTTACCTCCATTTTTGGAGGAGTGTAACTCCAGAGAGGGATCTAGAAATAATATTTATATGAAAACATCCCCTTTAATTTTCGACAAAGAATCTCCTAAATGTTTCGCACTTATTAAGAAACACCCCGTATATGTGTGCGTATATTTAATTGGAGTTTGATCTTTTCTGATTTGATTAGAGTTTGATCTAATTCTGCCATTTCGACTCATAATGCGCGTGATTCACGATAATATATCAGGAAATCGAGACGCTCGTGCTCGGGACTCCAAAGTTATAGTTCGCAGGCTTATCTCGGTTTCTCGGGTGCGCATCTCTGAATCGTATACATTGGCTCACAGTACAAATATAGTTGTCCCAGATTCTGGGACGTGCGCACGTCGTTGGCGAACCCCGGCGATTTTTCACGTTCCTTTTTCCGCCGCGAGGAATGAGGGAGGAGAGCCGTTTACTTCGGAGGGCAAGCACGTTACTTTCCCGAAAGGAGTTGCTCCGACAAAGAAGCACGATCTCGCTGAGGGTGAGTATCGGGATCGTCCCTCGCTCAAACGCTTTCTCCGAGGGCCATCGATCCAGAGTCCATTATTCGATTACCGCGTAAAAAGGTGTACATGGATGAGATTGAATTAACAAGGAAACGTGCCAATCGTCCTATGATGATTTAACGCAAGATTATTTAACGTGACGCTTATTTATTGCCTCTCGAGTATCTCGTTCGTTTTACTCCCTTGAAAATGCCATAAAGACTCTCCTCTCATCGCAAAATCTCAATCTCGATGACACTTAAAATCGATTTCTCAGCAGCAATGAATTTTATCACCAGAGAAAGAGATCTGTATTCTGGAAATTTCAATATTAAACGAAGTCGAGGAAATCGCGAAAGGGGCTAGGAATTTATTTGTATCCAAGGATCTGTTATATCGCGTACCTATAAGCATTCCAAAGGTCTGCATAAATTACAACTAGCAGCAAGTTTTCATGAAAAAGAGAAAAAAGTCGCACAAAATAATTTTTTAAGCAAATTAAATGATATCGATACACCTTGTTTTTGCGACTCATTTGCAGTAAGCTCGCGTTTAATTCACAAAACATCCGTAATCATCTTTCACCTGTATGCGGTCCAAGGATAATAACCGGGACTCGCTTGATATATAACGGACGGATAAAGCATACAGCTTGATTCATTGTCGGATAAGAGAAAAATTTCGCGAGAGCGTAACGTGCTCCATGGAAAGCGCGTTACGAGGCGTGTCGGCGGAATATGAAATTTTGTATTCGCCCACGGTAAGCTTATCCTCGCTTCTATTAAATGTAATATCGCGTGCGCGCCGCATTGGAGATTATGTAGATTTATATCACGAGAAAGAGAGAGAAAGAGAGCTGAGAGCGAGAGAAAAATACATTTCGTAACAGCCTCCTTATTACCAGGACGATAAATTTCCGAACCGTATGTTGGGAAGGTAAAAAAATAATGGATTTTAATCGTTCCCTCTTTCATAGGAGCAATCGTCGCGTCTATCGCGAATTTCTATTCTTTTTGCATCTCATATCCTTCTATTTTCTCTTTCAACGAGCTTAAAATTAGTTTACCCGCGCGGATAAACTGTATTTATATCGCGAGGAACGGGAGGTGGAACAGAACGATGGAAGGCAGAGCCGGAACCACCAATTAATTAAATACAATTGTGCAAAACAGTAAATACGGTGTCGCGGTGCCAGCGCAACGAACTTCAACAGTTGGCGACAACGAGTTTCACGCATGACTTTTGTCCCACATTCCGGATGACTCTTTCTTGCCCATCATCGTCCGACTACATGTTGCCGTGCAAGATATCGCAATTCATAGAGAGAAGCTAATCTTTGTCGTTGAATTAAATAGAATAATTAAGTAGAAAATCACTATATTATTTTTTTCCTTATTATTAATTTTAATTTTATATAATTATGTATTATACGTAATTATATATTATAATTTTAATTTTAATTTTATATAATTATATAATTATAATTTTATTTAAAAATAAAAAAATAATATGCTTTCAGCTCGTCATCTTAGAACAAATCCAAATTACGGTGACAAAAGCCAATATATCGAACCTTTAAACACGTTATACTGTTACTATATTTATGTTTGATATAAATATTCAAAGATTCACTGATATTGACATCTTGTAATCGTTGTTTAAATTTGTTCTATAATTTTGTTTTTATATTTCTTTTATATTATATCATATCATATCATTATTTGTGCAACTTAAAAAATGTGTTATATGATATTTATTCTATTATTTTTTATGATTTTTTTAAAATCCAGCTCTCTCTAATTTTAATAATTTAAATATCCAACCTTTATTATAATTTATTTAAAAATGTTACAATAAATTCAGAATCTATTTTACTCATCAATTCTAATTAAGATGTTGGAGATATAATTATAGTATTGAACCAGCGCAGAAATGCTTCTAATTGGAAATTGCAAAAGATATCTCAATTTCGTTATCGATGTTTGCTCATGTAAAAGTTGCTACTTTCACCGGGATGGTGTAATCATTACGCGATTTCGGCCATAACTTGATAATTGATCAAACATCAGAAATTTTTACCATAAAAAAATTTCCGTGGAATAAAATACGGAGAAATTTTATAGTCGCTGACTCAGTGAGCGAAATTTAGCACAACCGATTTCTCGATTGATATATATATCGAATAATACCGAATACATTTATATCGAATTTCTCGTTTTTTATTTTAATCTCCGCCGCTTTATTTTACAATAGCTACTGTATAAGGCAGTTAGTTAGAATATCTATGGAAAAAAGCCGTTATGATAGACAGTGCAATTGGACGATTAACGTGAACAATTTTCGAGTGTTCCCACAGCGATTCTCACGTTTTGCTCCCACTCTGTGGACATGTCACAATTCAACGTGTTCTGGGCTGTTTTTTTTTCCTTTTTTTTCGTCCTTCCTGCTTTTCTCCCACCGGTGCTTGAATTATAAAGCGGAAATACTGCGGAAATACCGCTCGCACACTTTTATATCGCACCCGTCATCCGTCGAGCCCAACACATCGCTACGCATTCGCGTGTGTTTGCAACGAAACGTTGTATTAAACATGCAGAGAAACAGAATGAGTCACCCCGATCGATTTCGGTCGTTACACCCGGTGTCTACTATCTATACCCATCTGTCTGCCAAGTCCATCCGCGATGGTGGCAGACCATCGACAAGAGGGACGGACATCCGTGGAGAGATTTTTAATTTTCGTCAGACCGGAAATTCGAGCGTGGAATCGAATGAACTTTCCCGGATATATTGTAGCTTTGAGTTATTTGAAATAGAAACGATGATTTCCATTTTGCCCGAGACAGAAATTAGTTTTTATTATAATAATGCCATTCTCTCTCTCGCTTTCGCCTGACATACTTCTGTCGATCCGATTATAAATCAAGCTCCGTCTAAAGTTTGCCAGCGTTGGCCGATTACGTTGTGAATAATAATGTGGAATATCTCGTCGGCAAGTTAATACGGTATAAAAGTTTTGTCGAATTAAAATTAAATTGTACGGAGCGACCTTCCTTACATGTGTGCATAAAATCGATGCTTCTATAGTCGACTCCTAGAATCATCATAAAATCGGGACTATTAACCCTTCTATCAAATAACTAAAATGTAATAAAAAAAGATGTAGGTGGGAAATAAAAAAAATTATACATTAATTATAACGAACAAATCTTGACACTTCTTTCTCGGGATATCAATATTAAACAGCTGATTCGCGCTTCAGCAATATTTAATGCAATATCTTGTCGCGCTCAGTAGCATAAGATCTTAAAAAATTAATGAGATAAAAGAATAATAAAATAATACTCGAAATTTATACGCGATAATTATATCATTAAAAATATTTAAAAAATTGCGAAACGTCAGACAGAGCTCGCGAAAAATGACATGTACAATGATCCCTCCTTGAACGGACAACCGCTTACACGATCGTAAATTTGACGTCGCGTATCACGCTATAAAATGGCGATAATGCCGTTCTTTATGTGGCCATTCGATACGTCACAAATCGCGCGAGTGAATGGCCGCGTGTGGCGAACGAACGTCAATAGCGTCAAGTGGAATGAATCTTGGATGCTTCCTCGGTCCTCTTCGTGCCCGATAAAATTACGCTCGCTCGATATCGATTAACCGACGTTGTTTGCGGAAAGGCGGTTAACACGCCGCGGCGTGAATACTGTGGGAGTACCCAAGTGTACTTACAACTTTCGACGGGGTGTTCACTTTGTACGTGCCGCGATGCTGGTGGCGTTCCTGATAGCCGACCGGAATTAAATCGGTGTTCAGTCGAAGGTCGAGAACGCGCTCGACACCATCCACATTGAAACCCACCGTCAGCACGTCCGCGTGCTCGATGTCCTGAAAAATAAAAAAAATATTGCAATTTAAAGTTTCCGTCTGCCAGCAAGTTTTTCCTCTTCCTCGACATCGACGTTACAAAAATGCAAAATTAGAACGTATTATCGATTCAAGAACATATATCGTATCAAGCTTATGAGAAATCGATTGGGAAATTAGAAGAGAAAGAATCAAAAACGAAAAATGATTTTTATAATTTATGTAAAAAATATAAAAGATATTAAAAAATAAATAATGAAAAATATAAAAATGAATAATATCAAATAAATAAATGAAATATAAATATATAAAATAAATGAAAATTTTATTTTATTCCATCCATATCCGTCATCATGTTTTATTTACTTTTATGTTTATATGTTTATATTACTATGTATTTATATTTAATTTTTGCCATATATAATCTAAAATTTCGATTATAACTTTCATATGTAATATTTTTTACATATATTACTCTCCATTATAAATTTCTTGTCTGCAAAGACCGATTCGTTGCAACTTGAATGGTGGAATAATAGCCGATTCTTTCTTGTCACCAGAGAGCCCGATCGCGCACCTGTTGCATTAATAGCGATAAAATTATGCTTAGACTTAAGAAAAGAAATTTTCTCTCTCGAAAATTGAACTGTCGAGATTGTTGTATCGAACTGCAATTAATTTTATACTCAGATGCTCCAACCATGAAACCGACTGACTGAGTATTTAACAACCTGAGAATATTGTCTGAACAATAAACAGGAAAATTGGACGTCGGATTTTCGAGGGAATATTAAACAAGCAAATAGCGAAACTTCCTTACAAATAATTAATTCAAATGTAATTTGTATATCTGTAAAAAAAAGTAGAAAGTTTGCAAAAATAATGTATCTGATAAAAAGTAGTATCTGACATTTGAATTTCGTTTATGAATTTTGACAATGACGGAAAAATACAATAATAATTTTACATGGTTAAAATTTGATCATGAATGATGAGATAACGTAATAACTCGATTCAGAAATTATCATATTCATGATAAACTTGTCTGCATGATTTCTACGCCTATTAATCACGACAGCATGAATTCAATCCTTGATTACCAGAGTAATGTCAATTATATCGGTGCAACAGCTGACTGTGCGTCGCATTTGTCGTTTTCGGTGCGATTAATCCAATTTGCCGACTGTCATATCGTTTGAAATCGCGTAAAACAGTTAACGTTATTAGATTACAATTCCGTGAGGCCGAAAAGCTCGATTCGAAATTCATAAGCTCTCCGAGAGAATCAGTACAGCGTCATCCCTTTCGAGTACGAAACGCGTGCCGAGTGCGAAATGAATTTGCGAATCTCGTTTGCGCCACCGGCATGGGTGATGTTTAATTCATGTACATCCCAGCCGAGATACTCTTTCCCGCTTCCTATAGACAAACGAAAAGCGAGTGGTGGATGCTGCGTTATCTGCGTAAACCGGATGCTGCACTGACGATGACACTGATGTTAACAGCGGTAAACAGCGGTTAACAGTCTGTCGGTGGTCCTGATTGTGAGAGAACAATTTGGATGAATTTTTAATCGCGCATATTTTTATCCAAAAAAATTAAATGTGCTATCTTTATCGATACGTTGCTCCGAATAAAGATTAAATTGTAATAATCGATTTTTAATCAATTTTAATCAATTTTTAATCAATTTAAAATTGATTTGCAATCAAGTCGACAAAAATATCAAGGTTCCGAAATAATCAGCGGATAAAGTCGTAGAGGAAGACATTTTAAATACAATATTATCTTATATTTCTGTGCCGTTTTACTTTTTAATCCGGATCTCTATTTTTAAAATAGAAAATGTTATATGAATAAATAAAATGTGCTTTTATGGCTGGAAATCAATTCAACGGTCTTTCGCTACGATTTATATAGATTGTGATTAAAAAATGGAAGATAGGAGAACGTTAAGAACCAGCCAGGATTAATCAAGGTAGTCGTTGCAACCGACGTTTTAAAAGCTTACACAAGATCACATTCTCCAGGCTACGTTTTACGTTCTCCTTACAATTTACGTCGACACAAAGAAAGCTTCTAACTAACCATCTTCCGTCCCACGCGTACAAAGACGGGATAGCGCGATGGAAGCTCGACTCTTAATTACTCTAAGTGCCGCGTTCAATTGAAATTGTGGCAGTAATTACTCGTGTAACGTAGCGCTACGAAATTGGAGAACCGCGCTTCTCTCCACGCTGGGATGGATAAATCGAACCAAGGTACTGCGCCAACATGAATTATTGATTAACCTCCTTGCTCTTCGACAGCCAACGCAATGCCGTCTAATACACCTTCGTGAACTCGACATTCTCCCCATCCTTTTTAATAAACTAAGTCTTCTATGAAGATGATAGTATTTCGTTTACAGTTGTTTGTAATAACAATAATTTTGCTCAAAACTATACAAAATAATATATTATTTTGATAAAATAATTGTCACTCGATTTCAAGATAAAAGAATCGCTGATGTATCTTGATTCGGAGTAAATAAAATTATACATAAAATTATAAAAGTATTATAACGAAATTATTATTACAAATAAATTATTGCAAACAAAATACTATTATTTTCAATAATTTTAAATTCAAGTTTAGTATTATTATATTACTATATTTATTCGGTTTAATCTGTTTTATTCATAGCAAAAAATTGGTTTCAAAATAAAATTTTATTTAGTAATGAAAAAGCCATATTGAAAATAGGACAAATATATTATGCATTGCTTGTGCAAAATATTGAATAATGGTAATAGAGATAAATTAAAATTAGCTAACTTGGTTATATGCTTGTTAAATATAATTATAAATGACATCGAGATCTCATTAAACTTGTAGAATAGAAATAATTTAATCGCCATTATTTAAAAATAAACAGATTGATGAAGAACCAGAATCTATCAGGTGAATGCAAACAAAATACTATTTTCAATATTATTTTCAATCATTTTCAATTCAAGTTTAGTATTATATTATTATATTTATTCGGTTTAATATATGTTTTATTCATAGCAAAAAATTGGTTGATGAAAAACCAGAATTTGTGATATATTAGATGAAATATGACTTTTTAATCATCTCCGTATTATTCTCTGTATTTAAAAATTGATTTCCAAAAAAGATTAATCGAAGCATTAACCAAAATGATGAGAATCTTCAATGTAATTTCTACAAGGCACATACTATATCGTAAGACAAGTGGCGCAGTAGTATTTCTTAGGAACCCGTCCAACGATAACCAACATAACGCTGTTGTATGGATCGACAGTACGTTCCTTTGAAATCCTTTCAACGTGGTGTATATCATTGTCCAGTGACAGTTAGCAATCTATACTTGGCTCGCGACCACTGCAGAAACCGTTTTTGATATTGTATCGTTGCTCAACTCTTACAGTGGCACGACCTGCATCCGTTTTCCATCGATATCGGGGAAACAAATACATATATATATGTATCGCGAGGTCACGGCTATTTGATATATTCGTGTATAGATATCTTATGATAGTTGAAATATTGCTTAATCTTCCAAATTTATGCTTTATTCAGTTAATCTCTTTCTAGAGGAGAATAATTGCTCCTTGCTTAATTAGTTCTCTCTTTTTGCCCCATTCGCAAGAAAAACCGTTGTCAATTTTCTCAAAGACAGAAATTCCAAGTCGACAAATAAATTAGAAAATTTTAGGTTTTAAATAATAACTTGCTAAATTCGACACAAATTTCTATAACGCTATATAAATATAATAACTGAAATAATTGAAAATTAATGTAAATGTATTTTTTTATACAATGTTCTTGGATTGGAAGTGGTTAAAACAGATCCGAAAGTGTTGCCAAAGTAAATGCGAAAGCTCGCAAAAGTTGGCGGACACTTTTTGCTCCTCGCTCTGTTAGCGCATCCCAAACAATTTATCCGGCAAATTCAACAAACTGCATTACTCGGCTTGAATTAAACAGTCGGTAATCGTTTCAACTTTTCCACGAGGAGAGAATCGGGCCGTCATTATTTCGTATGTCGACGGGAAAAAAATCGCTGTGCCGTCCTTTTAATCCCGTGTACAGAATCGAGTTAATTCAACGAAAAAAGAAAAAAGGAATGTAACGTCGGAAAAGAAAAAAAAAACGAACAACACGAAACGTCCGGTAAAATAGAAAGAAAGAGAAAAGAAGAAAAGTTTCTCCTTCCGACAACCGTAAAACTCGGCCGACGTGGCCCCTACGTTTCATTCATTGTGAATAAACTATCCTCGCTCACGTTTCTCCAGAATTTCCGCTTCTGTGGCTCTTCCTACACCGAACTCGCCGATTGTGCGTGCCCCTCGGAAATTCCAAGGGAAGGAAAAGAAAAGCTTGACGACGATCTTTTTGAGAAAAAATTCCAGTAGGGCCACGTAGGGAAACGTGCGCCAAAATGGCAAGAAAGACAAATTGAGAGGGTCGTTCGTATGAATAGAAATGCACAGCACGAGTCACCCCCACAGAACATTTTGATTAATCACGCTCGAAAGCAATTTGTGTTCAACATTCGACGGCAATTGCTAGCTTTCATATTTAAATATAATATATCTCGGAAGAATTTCACTCCTCCTTGTAAATAACATTTATATAATTTCTTTTATAAAAAAAAAAAAATATATATATATATATATATAATATGTTTCACAAATACATTTTCAACTAGTCAATATTTAAAAAATTGAGGTTAAATTAAAATAATCACTTTTTTTCTATGTTACATGCTATTCATATCTTGAATTATAATGTATAGAGTGTTTCTTAATAAATTCGAAAAATTTTAGATGATTCTTTGTCGAAAATTAAAGAGGATTTTTCATATAAACATATATTTCTACACTACTCCTTTCCTGTGTAGTTACACTCCTCCAAAAATGGAGGTAGAAATTAGGCTTTTATTTTAAATTTTTAGGTTTTTAGGTTTTTATTATAATTTTATTTTTGTTCTAATTTTTCCAACATTTACTCTA